TCTAAAATCAACAGACCTCAGATGTGTATGCGTGTGTGTATGTGTGGGGGGGCAGGGGGAGTGGGGGAGATGGAGCAGGTGAGGTGAAACGTCTCACCCAAATGGAACTGTGCCTTGTACAATGCTAGAGCGAGTGACTGGGCCAAGAGTGGTCCCAGGACAGAGGAGAGACTCAGGAAGCAGAGTAAGCGACTTACCAAAGGAAACCTGGTTTGAAGCATCTGCAAATCATCATAGCCGTATACCTGTGGCTGAGAGAAGAGAATCAGTTAGGCTGACGTTACAGCCATGATCAATGATACTCTCCGGCACTGCTCATACATCACTCCCCTGCCCTCTCACTCTGGACTCTCAGAGACAAAGAGGGTGAAAGACTCAGACAGGGAGACAGAGATTTAGGCAGAGATTCTAACAAAAAGAGAATCAGATAAAAATGTAGGCAGCGATTCAATCTGAAAGAGTGAGATAGAGACAGACTCTGATAGAAACAATGAAACACTCAGCCAAAGAGAGTGGGAGACTTAGACAGAGACTCAGGCAGAGAGAGAGAGAGAGAGAGACTTAGCCAGAAACACAGACTGAGAGACTCAGTGAGACAGAGACTCAAACAGAGAGACAGAGTCCCAGACTGAGACACCAAGACAGACAGACAGACAGAAAGAGAGACTCAAGCAGAAAGAATGAGAGAATCAGACAGAGACGGGGAGAATAAGAGAGACTCAATTTAGAGAGAGACTCAAGACAGAGTGAGACTCAAGACATAAAGACAGAGACTCAGGCAGAAAGATTGAGGAACACAGACAGAGACTTAGGCAGAGACCTGACAGAAAGAGTGAGAGACTCAGACAGACAGGCAGGGGGCAGGCAGGCAGAGACACTCAGGCAGAGACAGAGAGACAAAGATAGAAACACTGAAAGACTCACTTAGAAAGACTGAGACTCAGACAAAGTCAAGATATTTAGATAGTGAGACAGAGAGGCTCTGATAGAGACAAATAGACAGACTCAGCCAGAAAGAATGAGACTCAGAGTGAGAAACTCAAACAGAGACTCAGACAAAGAAACAGAGAGACTCAAACAGGCAGGCAAGCAGGACAGGGCAGGCAGACAGAGACAGAGAGACTCAGGCAGAGACACAGCGACTCAGCCAGAAAGTCTCTTTGAGACAGAAAGTGAGAGACTCAGATAGACAAGAGACACAGGCAGTGAGACAGAGGGACTCAGACAGAGACTCAGACAAAGAGACTCAGACGGAGAAAATGGTAGACACAGAAGAACTAGGACAGAGTGAAAGAGACAGAGACTCAGACAAAGTGAGTCTCAGGGAGAGAGACCCAGACACAGACTCATACAGAGTGAGTGAGTGAGTGAGTGCGTGCGTGCGTGCATCTGTCTGTCTGTTGGAGTCTCTCTGTTTCTTGGTCTGAGTCTCTCTGTCTGCTTGTCTGAGTCTCTCGGAGTCTCTCACTCTTTCTGACTGTGTTTCCTTGTCTCTGTATGAGTCTCTCTGTCTCTGTCTGAGTCTGTCTCTCTATCTGAGTCTCACTCTGTCTGAGTCTCTTTGTCAGTCTGTTTAAGTCTCTGTCTAAGTCTGCTACTCTTTGTCTGAGTCTCACGCTCTGTCTGAGCCTCTCACTCTCTTGTTGAAATGCTGTACACTGTCCAGCACCTTGGGACGTCCTCCCGATGTGAAAGGCGCTATACAAATGTAATTTTGTTGCTGTTGCTGTCTGAGTCTCTTTGTCTCTCTTTTTGAGTTTTTCCACTCTTTCTGTCTGAGTTTACCTGTCTCTGTCTGAGTCTCTCTATCTGAGTCTCTGTCTGAGTAACTCACTCTGCCTGAGTCTCTCACTCTTCTGAGTACCTCACTCTTTCTATCCGAGTGTCTCTGTCTGTGTCTCTCTGTTTGAGTCTCTCTTTCTTGGCTTCAGTCTCTCACTGAGACCCAGACAGAAACACAGAGAGACCCAGACAGAGAGAAGGGAAACTCAAACAGAAAGAGAGACTCTGAGAGACTCAGACAGAGAGGGACTCAGAGTGAGAGATTCAGACAAGCAGTTAGAGTCTGAGACAAAGTCAGATACTCAAAGACAAGAGACTCAGACAAAGACAAAGAGACTGGGGCAGAAAGTATGAGAGACTCAGACAGAAAGTCAAAGAGATTCGGGCACACAGCATGAGAGACTCAGACAGAAAGACAAAGAGATTTGGGCAGACAGCATGAGAGACTCAGACAGAAAGAGTGAGATACCCAGAAGAGAGACAAAAGACTCCACTGAGACTCAAACAGAAAGAATGAGACTCAGACAGAGAAACGCAGACAGAGTGAGAGGCTCAGACAGAATCAGACAGAGAGACTCAAGACAGAAACTTCAACAGGAACAGTGAGAGACTCAGACAAACTCAGAGAGACTCAAGACAGTGAGAGGCTAAGAGACTCAGACAGAGAGAGATTAAGACAGACAGATTCAGCCAGAAAGAGTGACTCAGATACAGACTCAGAGTAAGAGACTCAGACAGAGTGAGAGACTCAGAATTGGATTCAGACAGTGAGTGAGAGAGACTCAGACAGGGATAGGGAAACTCAGACAGAGAGTGAGAGACTCCGAGGGACTCAAACAGAGGGAGACTCAGACAAACAGACAGAGACTGAGAGAGTGAAAGACTCAGACAGAGACTCACGACAGAGAGATTCACACAGAGAAACAAACAGATAGACAGACAGACAGACAGAAACACTCAGACAGAGACTCGAGAAAGATAGCGAGAGACTCAGAGAGAGAGAGACTCAGAGAGAATGAGAGACTCAGGCAGAGAGGCAGATACTCAGACAGTGAGACAGAGAGACTCAGATAGAGACAGACCCAGACAGAAAGAATGAGACTCATATAGAGAAACTCAAACAGAGTGAGAGACTCAGATAGTGACTCAGGCAGAGTGAGACTCAGACAGAGAGACTCAGAGACAGGAAAATTCACACAAAAATAATGAGAAACTCCGGGAGACTCAGACAGACAGAGAGACTCAGCCAGAGTGAGATTCAAGACAGAGACACAGAGAGACTTCAGCCAGTGCCTAGTTCTTCTGTGTCTACCATTTTCTCCGTCTGAGTCTCTTTGTCTGAGTCTCTGTCTGAGTCCCTCTGTCTCACTGCCTGTGTCTCTTGTCTATCTGAGTCTCTCACTTTCTGTCTCAAAGAGACTTTCTGGCTGAGTCGCTGTGTCTCTGCCTGAGTCTCTCTGTCTCTGTCTGCCTGCCCTGTCCTGCTTGCCTGCCTGTTTGAGTCTCTCTGTTTCTTTGTCTGAGTCTCTGTTTGAGTTTCTCACTCTGAGTCTCATTCTTTCTGGCTGAGTCTGTCTATTTGTCTCTATCAGAGCCTCTCTGTCTCACTATCTAAATATCTTGACTTTGTCTGAGTCTCAGTCTTTCTAAGTGAGTCTTTCAGTGTTTCTATCTTTGTCTCTCTGTCTCTGCCTGAGTGTCTCTGCCTGCCTGCCCCCTGCCTGTCTGTCTGAGTCTCTCACTCTTTCTGTCAGGTCTCTGCCTAAGTCTCTGTCTGTGTTCCTCAATCTTTCTGCCTGAGTCTCTGTCTTTATGTCTTGAGTCTCACTCTGTCTTGAGTCTCTCTCTAAATTGAGTCTCTCTTATTCTCCCCGTCTCTGTCTGATTCTCTCATTCTTTCTGCTTGAGTCTCTCTTTCTGTCTGTCTGTCTGTCTTGGTGTCTCAGTCTGGGACTCTGTCTCTCTGTTTGAGTCTCTGTCTCACTGAGTCTCTCAGTCTGTGTTTCTGGCTAAGTCTCTCTCTCTCTCTCTCTCTGCCTGAGTCTCTGTCTAAGTCTCCCACTCTCTTTGGCTGAGTGTTTCATTGTTTCTATCAGAGTCTGTCTCTATCTCACTCTTTCAGATTGAATCGCTGCCTACATTTTTATCTGATTCTCTTTTTGTTAGAATCTCTGCCTAAATCTCTGTCTCCCTGTCTGAGTCTTTCACCCTCTTTGTCTCTGAGAGTCCAGAGTGAGAGGGCAGGGGAGTGATGTATGAGCAGTGCCGGAGAGTATCATTGATCATGGCTGTAACGTCAGCCTAACTGATTCTCTTCTCTCAGCCACAGGTATACGGCTATGATGATTTGCAGATGCTTCAAACCAGGTTTCCTTTGGTAAGTCGCTTACTCTGCTTCCTGAGTCTCTCCTCTGTCCTGGGACCACTCTTGGCCCAGTCACTCGCTCTAGCATTGTACAAGGCACAGTTCCATTTGGGTGAGACGTTTCACCTCACCTGCTCCATCTCCCCCACTCCCCCCTGCCCCCCCACACATACACACACGCATACACATCTGAGGTCTGTTGATTTTAGATGTTCCCACTATGATTTTAGAAGAGAGAAGGAAGTTTCTCTCTCCTGGTGTCCTAGCCAACAACAATAATAATAATCCTTGCATTTGATACAGTGTTTTATCACGTCTTCTAGATACTTCAAAGTACTTCACAGAATACATTGTAAAGTGAATTGACTGTGGGCAAAATACAGCAGCCAATTGTGCAGCAGTGTTCCATAAACCGTCTTGAATTGACAGAGAAAGTTATTATTTTTTTGAAGGAATTATTATCTTTGGAAAGTGATCCACCAATTGACTAACAACTGGGTTCTTACTTACTGTTAGGTGCACAGGGACGTGTGGAGTAAGGAAACTTGCCCAAAGTTTTGCCCTGCCCGAGAATCGAACCCAGGTCTCTCGCTTGGGAGGGTGTGCTCTAACCACTGAGCTACAGGACTCCAGAATATCTCACATCAAACACTTGTTCGCTTCGCCACTGGCAGTTTTTGGGAACTTAGGTCCAGATGCCATGTTTTCCTACAGACTCACAGTCTCACACACACGCACATAATAGATAGCGAGTTGTAGAATTTTTGCTAATGTACAGAGACTATGGTTTAGCTGAGATTGTTGCGGTCAGTGTGAACACCACATTCAGAATACTGGGAGTCTATGAGGCAACACAGTACAATTGATATTTCTATGTCAATGCCTTTCATGTCAGGGGGACATGCCAAAACACTCAACAATATTAACTCAGCACCCAAACTAGGGGAGGGGAAAGATGACCAAAAGTGTGGTCAACAAGTTGGGTCTTGAGACGGACCTTCAACAAGGTAAGCGAAGGAGGGAGGGAGTGAGTTCGAGTGACGTCAGGGTGGTCCCCACTCCTGAGAGTAGGTGCCAGAGGGCTAAAAGCCTGCTGATGGGGTGAGTTTATTGAGAGATGGCTGGTCTGGTCTGCACAATCTATTTGTGACTGCACCTAATTGTCTCTCTTTCTCTCTTAGGATTATTATGGGATCCCATTCGCCAATCCTACAACCCCAATCACAGGACGAGAAGCAGGCCTGTCAAGTACTGCCTACCCCGGTAAGCGTGCATTCATCTCAGAACTGTGAAACCCGCCTACCAAGATTCACGCAAAATGTACAGTACGGACAAAGGACACTGAACCCAATCATTCTGTGTCTATGTCGATACAGTAAAATTCAGATAAATCGTATCAGTCAGCAACATAACTAGAATTATAAAAAGTACTGTATGAGTTACAGGCAAACTTTCAGAAATCGTATCACATACAATGCGTACTTCAACATAGCCGGTAAGTGCAGTAGCGCGTTACGAGCTCGGAGACAATTTACAAAGGATTTAGGATTATTTAGGACTAAGAAAAGTTACAATTAGTTGTTATCTGATTTATAAAAGACGACTGTTGAAAGAAATCTTAAGTGTTTTTGTTATTGTTATGCAAGTTTTATTCCATAAGGATCCTCACCATTTCCTTTATAAGAACATCAACAACAATTTGCATTTATATTGCACCCCTCAGGAAGGGGAGCACCCCAGAGCACATAACACAGGAGTGGACAAAAGAGAGCCCGTGGGCCATATCCGGCCACCCAATGATTGTATCTGACCCTTCGTTGTGTCCAGCTGTAGAAAATCTATAATGCGTTCAGTCCCAGAAAGTCTCACAGATTTCGCATTTGAATCTGACCGGGAGCATCAGCCAATCACATGGCCTAGTTGTGCACACGCTCCCTTAAGTGTTGAATCAGGCTTACATCAGAAATGTACGAATCGGCAAATTTTCAAACACATACGCGGTAACCACAGCAATGCTTCTCACTGAGGAGGACATTTATCAAAATGAGATGGTCGAAGTGGAAAGTGGATGCTGAAGGCCGAATGTTCGACAAACAATGGACTTCTAAATATTTTTTTATCATTGTGGGTGGAAAAGCTGTGCTTAATTTGCAAAGAAAGTGTGGCCATGCTTAAAGACTACTACTTGAATCGTCATTTTGAGAGCAAGAACATTTCTGTCGAAGAGAAAGGAAAGAAAGTTGATGAGATGGTTGTTCGAATGCAAAAAGAGCAAAGCTTTTTCACAAAACAATTTGAAACCCAGGATGAGATTACAAGAGTGAGTTACATGATTGCACACAAAATTGCCAAGAACAGCAAACCATTCTCTGAAGGAGAATTTATTAAGGAATATGTGGTTGACTTTGCCTCAATTTTATGCCCAGACAAGAAAAAGCAGTTTAACAACATTAGCTTGTCAAGGCGAACTATTATGAGACATGTCGAGAATATCTCTGAGAACCAGTATCTGCAGTTCCAAAATAAAGTAAGCAATTTTGCATGCTTTTCACTGGCACTCAATGAGAGTTGTGATGTCTTTGACACAGCCCAGTTGAAAATTTTTATTCGAGGCATCACCAAACATTTTGAGCTAACAGAAGAATTGACATCAATGCAGTCAATGAAAGTTACGACAACTGGAGAAGTAAAATCAGGAGTAGAGTGGAAAAAATTGGTAAATGTGACCACCGATGGAAGCCCAAATCTGACAGGCAAAAATGTTGGGTTACTGAAAAGAATTCAAGATCAAGTCAAAGAAACAAATCCAGGACAGAATATTGTTTTTCTACACTGCATTATCCACCATTCCACCTATTATCCACTCTCCTCTGTAAGAGTGTGCTAAAACTAAGCAATGGCGTGGACATAGTTACGAAAGTGATCAACTAAATTCAAGCAAGAGGAGTAAACCACAGGCAATTTGTACCTCTGCTTGAGGAATTGGAATCCAAGCACACGGATGTTCTGTATCTCACGACTGTAAGATGGCTTAGTTTAGGAAAGGTCTTCAAAAAAGTGTAGGAACTGAGAACAGAGGTTGATTGATTTTTGGACATGAAACAAAAAGATTCAGATTTCCCACAGCTGAATGATGCGAATTGGCTCTCTGATTTCGCTTTTGCCATTGATATCATGGGCCACAAGAATGAACTGAATTCAAAATAGCAACAGAAGGGGACTTTGTGCACAATTGCATTCCAGTGTCAAGTCATTTATGACAAAATTATTTCTTTTATCGTGTCAGATAGGAAGCAGGCTGTTCGTCTACTTTCTAACTTTGCAGCAGATTACTGTTTGCGATCAAAGCCTTAAAAAATATACTTCGTTACTACTTGGTATGCCGAATTTTCGCACTGATTCCAGGATTTCAATTTGATGAAAAATGACCTGTCTTTGGTCTCTTCACCTTTCTCATTGGATGTTAACAAAACTGTATTTGACTTCCAACTTGAACTTATTGACTTGCAATATGATCCATCGCTTGCGGAGCAATTCAAATCAGTGCCGCTTCCCAGGTTTTACACCTCTCTTAATGAATATATCTTTCCAAAAATAAAAGCTCATGCCTAGAGGATGCTTGTGCTGTTTGGATCAACATACATATGCGAGGAGACATTTTCTGTGATAAAATTCAATAAATCGAAACAGATCTGTGATGACTGATGACCATCTTGCAGCAGTTCTCTGCACTACAACAATGGAGAAATGCCTGACTTCAATTGTCTGGTTAACGCACATCAGCACTTTCATTCTTCCCATTGAGTGAGCTTCTCACACTCTCATCAATATGTGAATAAATGAATAAATATCGAATAAATGTCTGCTCAATGAGTTGTTATTATTTAACCTAATTTTAATGAATGTCAATTATATAGACTTTATTTTATACATGTTCAAGTATAAAGCTTGATTTTGAGCTGCGATTAAGCATTTGTATCTAGAATAAGTGTGTGGCTCTCAAAAGTTAACAAAACTCGTGAAGTTGCCCACCAGCCTAAATAATTGCCCACCCCTGACATAACAGGAGATGACAAATTCTTGGACGTGTCGGCTGCTTCTGGGGTAAGATACACTTTGAGGTGAGTAATGGGTGGAGGTTAAGGAAGATGGTCCTGGTCAAGGACCAGGGACGTGGTGAAGGAAGGACAGCTGTGGGTTGAACCTGACGCCTAGATTGCAAACAGGTTCAGTGAGTTGAGGGAAAGGCTGGGATAGTTGAGGAGGTCAGAGCCGCAGGAGTGAAGACGTTGGTGAAGGAGAAGAAGAATTGTGTGTCAGCCACATACATGTTAAAGATTACTCCGTGTCTGCGGATGACATCAAGAGGGAGTATGTAGATAAGAGCATAAGAAATGCTAGACGAAAATCTCTTTTTCAGCATGAACATGGCCAATTTACTTAGTCGTTCCTCATAGTACAGTCCTTCTATTCCCTCAATCATTTTGGTTGCCCTCCTCTTTAGATGAGGAAGGAGAGGGGGCCAAGAATGGAGCCCTAGGGTACAACGCAGGTGAATGCACAGGAATGGGACATGCAGCCATTTACACTCTCCCATGCTCTTCTATTCCCCTCTCACTCTTGAAGATCTAACTTCCTCTTAAATATATCTACACTATCTGATTCAACCACCGCTTAGCTGCCAGACTCCGCAATACCTTGTCAGGTTTTGGTCATTCTACTTTACCAAAGATATCAAGGGCAAATAAGATTTGCTGAGATGGTACCATGGATGGGGGATGATTTGGTGCCTGGAGAAACTTGTAACAAAGCAGACTGAGGGATTACCTGATTGAGATATTTAATATGATGAGTCAAAGGAGAAATTATTCACATACACAGACACACGCACATACAGACACGCATACGCACACATACAGACACACACATACGCAAACAGACACACACACACAGACACACACAGACACACACATACATAAACACACACACAAACACACAGACATACACAGACACACACATACACAAACAGACACTCACACACACAGACACAGACATTTATAGAGCGCCTTTCACGTCGGGAGGACATCCCAAGGCGCTGGACAGTTGGGTCAGGACCCAAGCACAGGGGGTGAAATGGTCAGGGTGAGGGGAGGGAAGGGAGGGAGCGAGGAGGGGGGAAATGGTCAGGGTGAGGGGAGGGAAGGGAGGGAGCGAGGAGGGGGGAAATAGTCAGGGTGAGGGGAGGGAAGGGAGGGAGCGAGGAGGGGGGAAATGGTCAGGGTGAGGGGAGGGAAGGGAGGGAGCGAGAAGGGGAAATGGTCAGGGTGAGGGGAGGGAAGGGAGGGAGCGAGGAGGGGGAAGAGAGTCAAGAGGGGAGCTGAAGGCTCAGTCAAAGAGAAAGGTTTTGAGACCGGTCTTGAAGGAGGAGAGAGAGGAAGCGGCGAAGGCACTGGGGGATGGAGTTCCAGAGCCTGGGGGCTGAGAGGCTGAAGGCCCGACCACCGATGGTCGGGCGGTTGGGGCGGGGGATGTGGAGCAGACCGGAGCCAGAGGAACGGAGGGTACGGGCAGGTAGGTAGGGAGATAGTAGGTTGGAGAGGTAGGAGGGAGCAAGGCCGTGAATGGCCGTGTAGGTGAGGATGAGGATCTTGAAATCAATCCTCTGGGGGATGGGGAGCCAGTGGAGGCGAGCGAGGGTGGGAGTGATGTGGTCCCGAAGCCTGGTGCGGGACAGTACACGAGTACACACACACACAGGCACACACATATAGACAACCACACACACAGACAGACAGAGAGACATACACACACAGACACACACACAGAGACACACACAGACACACACACAGGCACACAGACACAAACTCACACACACACATAGACACACACAGTCACACAAACACAGGCACACACATACACAGACGACACACACACACAGACATTCACACATAGACACACACCCAGACACACACACAGAGACCAACAGGCACACACACACAGACACACACACAGACACACTCATATCTCTGTTTACCAGCAGTCAGTAGGAACCGGGTTGTTGGTCAATTGGCAGATTGCTTTCAGGGGGTAAATAATCCCTTCAAAAAAACTTAAGTCACTCAATTTAGTCACTCAACCCACGACTTTGTAGGATGCTGCTGTTCGCATTTGGCTGCTGTGTTTTGCCTACAAAACACACAATCATTACACTTTACAGTGTATCTTGTGAAGCGCTTTGAGCCATCTCAAAGATCTGATAATATGTCATAACAAATGTAAGGATTATTATTATTATATGTGTAACTGTCTGCCCCGCTCTCCACAGGTGACCTGTCTAAGTTTGGCCGGGGAGATGCCCCATCACCAGCTCCCACCACCACGCTGTCCCAGCCAAGCCAGACCCAGCCTCACCACACCACCCAGCAGACATTCCTGAACCCCGCCCTGCCCCCCGGCTACAGCTATACCAGTCTCCCCTACTACGCTGGGGTCCCCGGCCTCCCCAACACTTTCCAGTATGGACCCGCCATGTTTGCTGTGAGTACCTCTTGTTCCCCTCAGCTCGCTGTGCTTCCAGCCAGGGTCGCTCTCCCTCCCTCTCTCTCGTCTTTGAGTTAAGGCTTGTGGGTTCAAGCCCCCCTCCCATGTCAAGGTTTCTGAGCTCACGATCCAGGCTGACTCACCAGCACAGAGCTGAGGGGAGAGAGAGAGAGAGAGAGAAAATCAATTGTCGTAAACAACATCCTTCAGATGAGACGTTAAACTGTACTCCAGGACTGATGTTAAAGATCTCCCTCAGTGCTGTTGGTGCCCTGGCTGACAATCCCTCAAATAAGTTACTGTGAGTAAATTGCCTCATCTTTCTGAGTCCTACTGACCACTTTTTCTCCCTCATTTTCTTGCTCCTCTTTCTTTGTCTCATTTCTCTCTCCGTCTCTTTCGCGCTCTCTCTATTTCTTCCTCTCTCATTCTCGCTCCTCACTCTTGTTCTTTCTCTCTCCCTTGCTCCTCTGACTCTCTGTTTCTCCATGTAGGTCTCTCCATCAACCTCCAAACAGCATGGAGTGAATGTGAATGTCAACGCTTCTGCGGCAGCCTTTCAGCAAGCAAGTGGCTATGGCACGCACAGTTACAGCACGGGTATGTGGGGGAGGGGGAAGCATTGGAAGGGAGAGGGATTGGGGTTGAGTAGTGTACGAACCAAAGAGATTCTGAAGGATTCTGCTGAGTTTTGAATCCCTGTTTCCCTTTCTCTCCTCTCTTGCTGTAAAGCTGGTGTGTCAGTTACCTCAAGTAACACGGGCGTTCCCGACATCTCAGGATCTGTGTACACAAAGACCCAGCAGGTATGTGCCCTCACCCAAGAGACCCACCCAAGTCATACATTCACACAGGGCACTGTGCCATACATACACATAAATACACAGGTGGACACATTCTTACTGAGTGCATCCTGGACGCGGAGAATTCCATGTGTAGGTGGCAGACATGAAGTTCAGTATGGTTTGCAGACTTGCTAAATAGGTTTCTGTATGTGTCAGACAATGATGGATATTTATGTTTCTGTGTATGTCAAATACCTAGCTGATTATGATGATAGGTTTCTGTGTGTTTTATCAGTCACCTGCCTGATTACGGTGATAGTTTTCCGTGTGAGTCAGACACCCAGTTGATCACGATGATTGGTTTCTGTGTGTGTGTGTCAGATACCAGCTGATCAAAGTAATCGGTTTCCGCATAGTATGAGACACATGGCTTATCAATGAAATGGTTTCTGTGTGTGTTTGTGTCAAAAACCCGGCTGATGGGATTCCAGCTGAGTCATCCCATCTGATCACAGTCAGGATTTCTGTGTGTTAGTCACCCGGATAACAGTGATGGGTTTTCGTGTGTGTCAGATACCGGGCTAAAAATAATGAAAAATAAAATAAAAATAAAAATAAAAATAAAAATAATGACAGGTTTCTGTGTGTGTGCATGTCAGACACTGGGCGTATCAGGATGACGGATTTCCATTTGTTTGTGTCAAACACCCGGCTGATCACGGTTACAGGTTTCTGTATGTGTCAAGATATGCAGCTGATAACGGTGATGGGTTTCTGTGTATGTCAGACACCTAGATGATCAGAGTGATGGGTTTCTGTGCGTGTCAGACACCCGACTGACCACGGTGATAGATTTCTGTGTGTGTCAGATACACTGATGATCACGGTGACAGGTTTCCGTGTGTGTCAGACACCCGACTGATCATGGTGACGGGTTTCCATGTGTGTCAGACAACCGGCTGGTCACGGTGACAGGTTTCCATGTGTGTCAGACACCCGGCTGATCGCGGTGATGGATTCCGTGTGTGTCAGACACCCGACTGATCATGGTGACGGGTTTCCATGTGTGTCAGACAACCGGCTGGTCACGGTGACAGGTTTCCATGTGTGTCAGACACCCGGCTGATCGCGGTGATGGATTCCGTGTGTGTCAGACACCCGACTGATCATGGTGACGGGTTTCCATGTGTGTCAGACAACCGGCTGGTCACGGTGACAGGTTTCCATGTGTGTCAGACACCCGGCTGATCGCGGTGATGGATTCCGTGTGTGTCAGACACCCGACTGATCATGGTGACGGGTTTCCATGTGTGTCAGACACCCGGCTGGTCACGGTGACAGGTTTCCATGTGTGTCAGACACCCGGCTGGTCATGGTGACGGTTTTCTGTGTGTGTCAGACACCCGGTTGGTCACGGTGACGGGTTTCCGTGCATGTCAGACACCCGTCTGGTCACGGTGACGGGTCTCCGTGTGTGTCAGACACCCGGCCGGTCACGGTGACGGGTTTCTGTGTGTGTCAGACACCCGGTCGGTCACGGTGACGGGTTTCCGTGTGTGTGTGTCAGACACCCGGCCGGTCACGGTGACGGGTTTCTGTGTGTGTCAGACACCCGGTCGGTCACAGTGACGGGTTTCCGTGTGTGTCAGACACCCGGCCGGTCACGGTGACGGGTTTCTGTGTGTGTCAGACACCCGGTCGGTCACGGTGACGGGTTTCCGTGTGTGTGTGTCAGACACCCGGCCGGTCACGGTGACGGGTTTCTGTGTGTGTCAGACACCCGGTCGGTCACAGTGACGGGTTTCCGTGTGTGTCAGACACCCGGCCGGTCACGGTGACGGGTTTCTGTGTGTGTCAGACACCCGGTCGGTCACGGTGACGGGTTTCCGTGTGTGTGTGTCAGACACCCGGCCGGTCACGGTGACGGGTTTCTGTGTGTGTCAGACACCCGGTCGGTCACAGTGACGGGTTTCCGTGTGTGTCAGACACCCGGCCGGTCACGGTGACGGGTTTCTGTATGTGTCAGACACCAACTGTTCATAGTGATGAATTACTGTGTGTCAAACATCAGGCTGATAACAGTGGCGTGTTTCCGTATGTATCAGATACCTGGCTGATCACGGTGATGAGTTTATGTGTGTGTCCGACACCCGCTCATCAAAGTAATGGGTTTCTGTGTGTGTTGGAAAGCTGACTGATCATGGTGATCAGTTTCGATGTGTTTCAGACGTTTATGAGTTTCTGTTTGTGTGTGTGTCAGACACACTGATGTTTTCTATGTGTGTTAGACATCTGGCTGATCACTGTGATAGGTTTGTGTGTCCGTCAGACACCCGACTGATCATGGTAATAGGTTTCTGTGTTTGCCAAACAACCGACTGATCGCGGTGATAGGTTTCCATATGTACCAGACAACCGACTGATCACGGTGACAGGTTTTCATATGTACCAGACACCCGGCTGGTCACGGTGACGGATTTCCGTGTGTGTGTGTCAGACACCCGGCTCATCACCCTGATGAGGATGATGAGTTTCTGACACCCGCCTGATCAAAAAAAGTGAAATCTCTGATTTGCTTGTTTTCTGTCTCTCTCTCTCTAGTCTTTTGACAAGCAGACTTTCCACACTGGAACTCCCACAGCCTCGTTTAACCTGCCCTCGGCCCTGGGGAGTGGGGGACCTGTCAGTGCAGCCACCGCAGCCGGCTATCCTCCCCCCTTCATGCATATCCTGACCCCCCATCAACAGCAGATACACTCGCAGATCCTCCACCTGCAGCAAGACAGCCAGGTCAGCTCTCTCCTCCCTCCCTCTCTCCTCTCTCTCTCTCTCTCTCTCTCCCTACTGTCTCAATCACCTCTCTCCCTCCCTTTCTCTCTATCTCTCTCTCTCCATCCTCTCTCCCTCCATCCTTTCACCCTCTCCTCCCTCCCTCCTTCTTTTTTTCTCTCTCTCGTTCCCTTCCTCCCTCCTCTCTCCCTCCTTCCCTCCCTCCTACCTCCCTCCTGTCTCCCTCTCTTCCCTCCCTCCCATCTTCCTCCCTCTTCTCTCCTCCCTCCCCCTCCCCCCTCCTTCTTCCTTCCTCTCCTTCCCATTCCCTCTTGGCAGTGTTAACAATAGGTCGGGTCCCCCTCCCCACCTCACTCTTTGTCTTTTGTTTGCAGAGTGTAACAGGACAACGGAATCAGACCAGCAGCATCCAGCAGAAGTCCCAGACCAACAAATCAGCTTACAACAGTGCCGCTTACTGGGGTCCCAACTGACAAGTCTGCGCAAGGGAGTTGGAGTGGGAAGCTGGGGCAAGAGAGAGCGAGGAGCAGTGGTGGAGAGAGAAAGGGAAATCTGTCCCCTCCCATCCCTGCTAGCCTCACTTTTTATGAAAGATAAAGAGTGTGTAAAACTATAAGTGAGCAGTTTTTTCCCTCTCAAATTACATGGTTTTATATGGCTCAGTCTTGATTACAAGTCACAGAGCAACGAGGAGTTTTCAAACCAGTTTCTGCTTTTGTCTGTATTTCCCCCATGTCCTTATTGTTCCAAGCAAAAAAAAATACTGTTGTTTTTGCCATTCTGTTCTGTCCCCAGTCCATCCTGAGGGAAGGATCTGGAAGCTTCTACGATTTTCTGAATCCTTTCCCCTGTTCCCTCCCCCTCTCACCTGCCTTTTTGCTATCCCTTCTCCCCACTATCATTCTGTAGGATTGAAACCAAACCAATAATATGGGCTCCAATGTATTATTGCTTCTTTGAGGTGTTATTTTGTACTGTGCTTGACTTCAGTGAATGACGTACCTCTGTGTATATATAAAACACAAAGTGCTATAGATGGGACTGGCTTCCACACCTTCTCTTCTATGGCTTTTTGTAATTAGTTTCCTGATATAAAAAAAACAACCAAGTTTGTTTGGGTAATTTTTGGGTGGTATTTATGGATGTTGTGTGTATATGTGTATATATATGGGTTGACCGTTGACAACCGTTCTTTCAGCCATGTACCAACCTTCGTCCTTCTGTCCCTAACCCTCTGCCTTCACCCTCTTCAGACCATACCAGAAGAAATTGCTTTTCGACTCCTGCACTGTGGTCACCTCCCCCCGGCTCGGCATCAGACTCTGCTACCGCTAAGCTCTCTGAGGCAGTGTCCATGTAAATGCGAGTTCTTGTAGTATTATGCGTCAGTCTGGCTTAGTGTCTGTGTGTGTGTCAGCCTGGCTCTGATAGCACATTCTCCTCTCAGTCAGAAGGTTGTGGCTTCAAGCCCCATGTCAGGACTTGGAATCACACAGTCTAAGATGATACTCCAATGTAGCGCTAGAAGCCAGGGGCAGGCTGACTATAATCAGTCGCTGAACACGAGTATAATGTGCTACTCTGCAGAAATAGTGAGTATAATAATTCTTAGCTTCGATATAGCGGCTTTCACTTCAATGTTTCAAAGCACTTCACAAGATTCACTGTAAAGTGTAGTGACTGTTTTGTGGGTGAACATAGCAGCCAATTTTCACCCAGAAATTTTTCTGAAACAATCATGAAGCAAACATGACTTTATTTGGCCAGGATACTAGGAGAGAGAAACTCCATTCTCTTTTCGAATAGTGCCATGGAATCTTTAGCATCCATCGGTAAGGGTTAATTTAAATTTGTGACTGTGGTGAGGTAAGGACTGACACAAATATTGTACAAAAATATAGATTTCTATTAATTCAGATTAATAATAGATTAAGTAATTAAAAAAATACATTATAGTAATGCTTATGTAGCGACGCATAGTTCACAATGATTTAAGTTGACCTAGCCAAATGCTCCAGAACAGATAGATGAGCAGCATCCAATTTAGTGTCCATTTTAATCCAGTTGGATGTTGTGGATGATGGATTTGGGGAGACCGAAGAGGAGGGCATTTGAGAAGTCAAATCAGGAGATGACAAACTCATGGACGTGTCGGCTGCATCGGGGGTAAGGTACAGTTGGAGGTGGGTAATGGGCGGAGGTTGAGGAAGATGGACCTGGTCAGGGACCATACGTCTCTGACCTGCTGACTCCCTACGAGTCTACCCGCTCCCTCTGTTCATCAGGCTCCGGCCTGCTCCATGTCTCCCGCCTGACCCATCCTACCATCGGTGGCTGGGCTTTCAGTCTCTTTGCCTCACACTCTGGAACTCCATCCCACGGTCCCTTTGCCATGCTTCCTCTCTTGCCTCCTTCAAGGTCGGTCTCCCTCCCACCTTTCTGCCATCCCTCACCCCTACCCCACCCCTCCCCCATGCTCAGAACCCGGCACCTGACTGATCAGTGCTTTGGGACGTCCTCCCGAAATGAAAGGCACTCTATAAGTGCAATCTTCTTATTGTTGTTGTAGGCCTCAGTTAGAATACTGCGCCCATTTCTGGACACCACACTGTAGGAAGGATGTTAAGGCATTGGAAAGGGTGCAGAGGAGATTTACGAGGATGGTACCAGGAATGAGGGACCGTGATGATGAGGAAAGGCTGGAGAGGCTGGGATTATTCTCATTGGAGCAGAGAAGGTTACAAGAAGATCTAATAGAGGTCTTCAAAATCATGAGGGACTTGATAGGTTAGAAAGGGAAGAACTGTTTCCACTGGTGGGTGTGTCAGTGACTCGAGGTCACAGATTTAAAATAATTTCTAAAAGGAGCTAAGTGGAGTGAGAAGAATTTTTTTCACACAGTGAGTTGTTCGAAACTCAAAGGGTGATCGAGGCCGATTTTTAACTACTTTTAAAAATGCGGTGGACGGGTATTTGAGGAGAATGGGTTTGCAGGGTTATGGGGAAAGGGCTGGGGAGTGGGACTGACATTAATTGCTCTTTTCAAAGAGCGGCATAGACTCGATGGACTGAATGGCCTCTTTTTGTGCTGTACGATTCTATGATTCTATTCTGAGTGAAGAAGTGTTTCCTCAACTGTTCAAAAAGGCTTAATCTTAATCTTAAAACTGTGACCGCTAGTTCTAGATTCACTTACCAGGGGAAACATTCTCACACTGTCTACTCTGTCAAGCCCCATAAGAATCTTATATGTTTCTATAAGATCACCCCTAATTCTTCCATATTCTAGAGAATATAGGCCTAGTTTACTCAACCTCTCCTCATAGCTCAACCCCCTCCTCCCAGAAACTAACCTAATGAATCTACCTGCACCTCTCGGATGTCACTGCCCTTTCGGGCAGATCATTCCAAATTCTAACAACTCGCTGAGTGAAAAAATTTCTTCTAACCTCCCCTCTGCTTCTTTTGGTAGATATCTTCAGACTGTGACCACGGGACACAGACACACCTACCAGCGGAAACAGCTTTTCCCTATCTCGCCTGTCGAAACCTTTCATGATCTTGAAGACCTCTATCAGGTCCCCGCGTAACCTTCTCTGCTCTCATGGGAAAAGTCCTAACTTCTCCACTGTCCTCATAGCTAAGCTAAGCGAGAAACACCCATTAACCACCACCCTCTGCTTTCTGTCACTCAGCCAATTCCTAATCCAAACGGCTACTGTCCCCTTAATACTGTGAGCCTCCAGTTTTATTATTAACCTCTTATGCGGTACTGTGTCAAAAGCCTTTTTAAAATCCATGTAAATAATGTCCACCGCAATTCCCTCATCAACCCTCGCAATCACCTCTTCAAAAAATTCTATTAGATTTGTTAGGCAAGATTTGCCTTTAACAAATCCATGTTGGGGGTCTCTAATTACGTTGTGTTCCTCTAAGTAGAGATTTATTCTATCCCGGATTATGGTCTCCAGTAGTTTCCTATTACCGAGGTTAGGCTGACTGGCCTGTAATTTCCGGCTTTGTTTTTCTGCCCCTTTTTGTAGAGTGGGGTAACATTAGCCACTCTCCAGTCTCTTGGCACCACTCCTGTGTCCAACGACGATTGAAATATAATGGCCAAAGCCTCCGCTATTTGAACTCGTATCTCCCACAGCAACCTTGGGTGAAACCCATCTGGTCCTGGGGACTTAGCAATTTTGAGCCCAGTCAATCTTTTCACTAATATGCTCACTAATATTAGCTTCTTGGTTTCTCTCAATTTTTGTAAGTTTTCAGTGTCTTCTAACATGAAGACAGAAGCAAAGTATTTGTTTAATGACTCTGCCATATCTTTATTCTGCATTATAATTCCTCCTGTCTCTGTATGTAATGGACCCACATTAGCTTTTACTAGTCTCTTCCTCTTTATGTACCTGTAAAAACCTTTGCAGTCTGTTCCTAGCTAGTTTGCACTCATAATCCATTTTGTCCCTCCTAATCAGTTTCTTACGTTTCTTTGTTGGTCTCTGAAGCCCTCCCAATCCTTGGGTTTATTGCTCTTTTTGGCAGTATGATAGATTTTTGGCAGTATTACAGGGATGGTGGAGTCTAGAGTATACATGCATTGTGTGGGCTAGGGTATACAGGCATGGTGGGGACTGGAGTAGAGAGACTTGGTGGGGACTAGACTACATAGACATGTTGGAGACTTGGGTACACTGGCATGGTGGGATGCTAGAGTACACAGGTATGTTGAGGTCTAGGGTACACAAGCATTGCGGGACCTAGAGTAAACAGGCATGTTGAGGGCTAGCTTACACATGCCTGTTGGGGGCTAGTGTACACAGGCATTATGGAGGCTAGGGGACACAACAATCTGGCATGGTGGGACTAGAGCACACAGGCATGGATGGTGCAGGCTTAGGGTACACAGGCATGTTGAGGTCTAGAGTACACCAGTATGGTGGAGGCTAGGGTACACAGGCATGTTGAAAACTAGAGGACACAGGTATGGTGTGGTCTAAAATACATAGGCATGTTGGGGGCTAGGGTGCACAGCATAGTGTGGGCCAGAGTACACATGTGGAAGTTAACTCCATGTCTGCGGATGGTGTCACGAAGGGGGAGCATATAGAGGGTGAAGAGGGGGTGACCGAAGACTGAGCCCTGAGGGACACTGCACGAGACGGTGCGGGGGCTGGAGGAAAAGCCGTTTGTGGAAACAAAATGAAGACAGTGGGAGAGGTACGACCTAAACCACTCAAGGACAGGGCCTTGAAGGTTGAGGTGGGAGGACAAGCGGTGGAGGAGGATAAAGTGGTCTACCGTATCGAATGCGGCTGATAGGTTGAGGAGGATGATGAGGCAGAGGGAGCCCTGGTCACAGATGGTCAAGGTGTCATTAGTGACCTTGACCAGGGCAGTTTCTGTGCTATGGGCAGCACGGAAACCTGACTGGAGGGTTTCAAATAGTGAATGGGTGGAGAGAAAATATCGCAGCTGGGAGGCGACGACTCTTCCAAGAACGTTGGACAGGAAAGGGAGGTTGCAGATGGGCCGGTAGCTTGATAGCTGTGACAAGTCAAGGGAGTTTTTTCACCACCATGCCTGTGTAATCTAGCCCCCACCGTGCCTGTGTAATCTAGCCCCCACCGTGCCTGTGTAATCTAGCCCCCACCGTGCCTGTGTAATCGGTTCCCTAAGATGCTTGTGTATGCTAGTCCCCACTTTGTCTGTTTACTCTAACCCACACCAGACCTTTGTACTCTTGTCCCCAACATGCCTGTGTAAACTAGACCCCAACATGCCTGTGTACTCTAGATCCCACCATGCCTGTGTAACCTAGCTCACAACATGCATCTACCCTCGAGGCCCCAACCATGCTTGTGTATTTTAGTCCCAACCATGCCTGTGTACTCTAGTCCCTGCTAAGTCTCTCTACTCTAGTCCCCACAATGAAAGTATAAACTAGACCACATCATGCCTTTTGCTCTAGCATTCCATCATGTCTGTGTACTGTAGCCTCCACAATGCCTCTATATTCTAGGCCTCACCGTGCCTATATACTCTAGCATGCGTAACCTATTCTCTCTACTATAGACACCACCATGCCTTTATAATCTAACCGCAAG